ACATCCAAGGAGGCCAACAGTCAACGTGAAGAAGAGAAAGCCAAAGCACCTCTGGTGCCTTTTGGGATCGACCTGTTCTACTGGGGCCAGGAGCAGCCAACATCTGGAAAGATCCTCAGGTAATAAACTGGTCCAAAATACGGAACACATTTCCCAAAAAATGCTTGTGAGGGTCGATGCTTGCACATCTTACACGCTCGGGTCCCTGGGAGAAAAAGCACTGAAACAATTTCTTCCTCGAACTAATTCGGGTTAAACAAAAGTTTCATTTAATGTTTAATCCCTTTAGTGTCTAATTCTGTTTATTTCATTTGCGAACTGTTTCAGACCGGGAAGGTGGGTCTATTTTGACGGGGAATTGATTCTTGATTGGCGAAGGGTCTGTAATGGGGAAGGTGATATATTGAGCACATTTATCCTGAATGTTATATTTTTGTGTGTGTGTGTGTTTGTTCCTTTGAGTCACTGTCGATAAGTCCTTGCAGTTTCTTGAGGAGGCTTTGGAAGTGTTCTGCCATTACTTTTTTTCCTTAGAGCTGAGAGAGAAGGATTGGCTCAAGGTCACACAGCTGGCCTTGTGTGTAAGACAGGATCGGTCATTAAGTGACCGATCATTAAATGAGGACTGCCTGTAAACCCCCCCCCCCCTCTGACAATCAGAGCCTTGGGACAGAGCATAGCAGATAGTGCTCAATCTTGTGCTTGTGCATTTCTCCAATGGGAGTCTCCCACCTGCTTGCTCTTAGTCTGAGACAGTTCCTCCTCCTCCTCCTCCTCCTCCTCCTCCTCCTTCTCTGCAGACTCCAGTCTCTTCTAGCCCTGCTGATGTTACCTAGTTTGGGTTAGAAAACGTCTGCAAGAAAACCACCAAGCTCAGAGAGCACCAAGGACCCCACAGTACTCCTCTTCTCCTCCTCCTCCTCCTCCTCCTCCTCCTCCTCCTCCTCCTCTGCAAAGTCCACTCTCTTCTAGCCCTGATGATGTTACCTAGTTTGGGTTAGGAAACATCTGCAAGAAAACCACCAAGCTCAGAGAGCACCAAGGACCTCACAATACTCTTCTCCTCCTCCTCCTCCTCCTCCTCCTCCTCCTCCTCCTCGCCATTGTCCGTCCACTGCAGGATGAAGGCCTCTTCCTCCCGTTTCCAGCCCCTATGGTCCTGGGCTCCCCTTGGCCAGTTGGGCCCGCCGTACTTGGCTGATGTGGTCGCTCCATCTTGCTTTAGGTCTCTTTCATGGAGGCTTTTGATCAAATGGGATCCGTTCCAGGACCGCCTCGGTCCTCCTGCCCTCCGTTCCTCCTGCTGTGTGACCAGCCCGTTTCCATTTCCATTCTGGATGGCATCGCACCCTTTTTCCTCTGTTCTCCAGCCCACGTGCAGGTCTTTCCCTCTCGCCTCGCGATGCCGAGGGCGTCTCTTGCCATGTTCCTTTGCGCCCCTCGTAGCGTTTGTACCGATTGTGAGGTTCGTGTGTCCACGGCAAGTGTTAGAGCGGGCAGCACACACTGATGGAAAAGTTTTCTCTTTCGGCGTGGGGGGCGGCTGTTCTTGAAAATTACGGCTCGCGGGCCGAATGCCTGCCAACCACATTTAACAGGCCGTTCAATTTCCTTTATTCTATCACCTTCCATTGAGATCCGTTGGCCAAGGTCAGGGATAGGCAACCTCGGTTCTTTTATGACTCATGGACTTCAACTCCCAGAATTCCTGAGTCAGCTATGCTGACTCAGGAATTCTGGGAGTTGAAGTCCATGAGTCATAAAAGAGCCGAGGTTGCCTACCCTTGGCTAAGATAGAACAGAACAGAATAACAGTTGGAAGGGACCTTGGAGGTCTTCTAGTCCAGCCCCCTGCTCAGGCAGGAGATCCTATAGCATCTCAGACCAATGGCTGTCCAGCCTCTTCTTAAAAACTTCCAGTGTTGGAGCATTCACCGCTTCTGGAGGCAAGGAGTTCCACTGGTTAATTGTTCTCAACTGCCAGGAAATGCCTCCTTAGTTCCAGGTTGCTTCTCTCCTTGAATTAGTTTCCACCCGTTGCTTCTTCTCCTGCCTTCAGGAGCTTTGGAGGATAAGGATACAGAGTGGTCTACTACATTTAGTAAACCTGACATACGTTTCTATAGAAACAGGACGAAACATCTGGCTTTTATTATGACTAATTGTTAGGTGTTTGTCTTTTGTGTGGCAATTTGCACAGCGGGGCACATACATTCTGCTGATTATCCCTTGGGGAGGGGGGGTTAGTCAGGCCCTGGGGCTTGCTTCTTGCTAAAATCTGAAGCCTGATTCTTGTGAAGCAATGTCCTTCCTCTCGTCCAGCAGCCGTATTTTAAAATTGCAAACTCAGTAAAGAACCGAAGAAGCTCCCTGGGTGAGAAGCGAAGTGTTTTCAAGGTAAAAAAAACCAAGAAAATGCAGTTGTCTTTTGGAAAAAGCACCTTTGGGAATTGATATAGAAATGGAAAAATAAGTGGTGGTCATCAATATTGGTTAAATT